AAAGAGGTTGAGGTTTGCATTGGAGGATATATGAATGAATTAAGAGATTTAGTTGTGGAAATTCATAAGAATCAGAAGTCGATTCTAATAGATGGCACCATTATTCTGCTCAGGAACCAGAATTATTGGTGCAGATCGTTGATGCGGTAGTGCAAGATGCTCTAGTGTGATTGCACGAGATGGACTTGCAAGGTTAGCATTCCAAGCCCAAGTCAATTTACGAATAAAAAGAATAATGTGAATTATGGATCAAATCATACCTTTTTTTGTTCGTGCTATGTATTTATGCAATGGATGAATATTGGGCCTCCGCTGTATTAGCCTTGTTTCCAACCTACAATAAATAGTAATGAGCATACTAGGTGCTCTCTTTTGTTGTTTTTATGTGTTTTCGTATGTGTAGAGTAACTTTGATGATAATTTCTATCACACCAGAAATATATGACCATTACTCATCAGAACTAAAACCATAGGAGGAAGCATGAATCTATAAAGAAGTGCATATATGCTAAATTTGTTCCATAGTTATTTACTACACCTATTCAATTGGTGTAGGCATGCACCGCTAGGTTACATTATGGCCTTGTCTGTCATGACAAATCTTATCACACTAACACATTAGACGAAATCATTAAATGGATCATTTTCCAACACGTTTCTTAACTTTTTTCGTCATCCTTACTTCTTAGGTGTTATTATTCATTATGAACCAATGGAAATAATCAATTATTTTTACTATTATTTTTTGCTCACGTTTATACACAATATTTTGACTTGAAAATCAATTTAAGTTAATAGAATCTATATGGGATTGATACTCTTACTTTTAACACTTGCTACCACTTTGACTATGTATACTTTCACATACAAATATCCAAGCAATATCCACTTAATAAAATTCCCTTTCATAAAATGAAATTGTTGGTCGACCTTTCTTAGAAAATTTCTAATTGGGTTTTTGTTCCTGCAACATCTTCTCCTTTAGTTCTTAATAGAATTACATGTGGCTTCCTTATGATTGGTAAAACCTCTTGAAACTACTCTTGAGGTTCTCAATTGATTCCACTTTGGTGATGTTATGTCGTGTGTGACTCTATTTTGGTAGATGATAACAACTTATCTAGAGGGGGTTAATATATCTCCAAAGTAAAAATACTATTTTAAAAACGAATGAAAAACTATGGCAAGCAGATGTTTTAGCCTAGATTAAACAAGTCATCTAAACCGAAGCAATTATTGAAAACTCGAATATGCGTATTATACTGAATGGAATAAAAGACAATGATCAGAACTAATACAATAATTTCTCAATCAGTTTTTTTACTACAATCACATTGTTAACCTATTTCAAATGAAATTATTGACAAAAACGAAACCTAGAAAATTATCAAACACTTGGTGTGCAATCGACTTTTCATATTTTCCTTTTGACTTTGTTGATATGAAATACCCCTTACAATCTAATTGATTATAACGTAATTAACAAAGCAATTTCAAGTCTAACAATCAAAAAATTTGTCTATACGTATTGATTACACACAATCAATGAATTTAACAATTTACTATAGAAAGTAAATGAGAGAGAGAGAGAGAGAGCCCAAGGATTTGTTTAGGCATTTCATCAATCATCCTTGCTATGGCTACGTCTGCCCCCAATTCTAAATGGAATTGAGATATCAATCTTACTTTGCAAAAAGTTGATTACAAGAGAAATGTAGCGATACCACCCTCCAAACTCAATGCTAGATGTTGATTCTAACCCTTTTTCTTCCCTTAATCTTGAGCTCGACCAAGTATCCCGATAACACCAATTGATTCACTGTCTCACGCTACTCCTTTGCAAAAACCTCCATTCTTCAAAGCATTCACTCGATCAAATCCAATTGCATATTATCGTGTCCCAATATTTCCAAATGATTCACTGTCCCATGCCCTTCGACTCAATCCACCATTCTTTGAAGCTTTCACTCGATCGAATCCAATATTTGTGAAATATTATGTAAATCCTCAAATCAACACTATGATCTTGGAGGACAAACCCTAAGGTTTTTCTGGATCAAACCCCCAAAAATTATCAATCCAATTTACCGGTACACCAACCTAAATTGGAAATTGCAACACAAATCTAGATGGAACCCAAACAAAAAATGATTATGTGTAGTTTGTTTGTGTGTATGCATAAATGAGAGGTTGAAGATGAAGAGAAATCTTTGTATGTGTTTATACTTTCATCAAGTTGGAAATGATACATGAATGAAGTATTTATATGTGTGTAAGTTGGTCGCAAAAAGGAAACCTTGAAATTGAACAAGAATGTGATTTTTCAAAAAAGTTACAGCATGTGTCGACACATATAAGTCATGTGTCGAAACATTTTAATGTGTGCATCGACATGTTCAAGGTCAGACATCGATACATAGAAACATAAGCTACAAGCTTTAAAAATGGGTTACATGTGTTGACCTGAACACAGGATGTGTCGGCACATAGGTGAGATTTTTCAGTGTCGACACATAGAAACAGAGGCTACAAGATTTAATATTGACTCACGCGTGTCGACTCATACCTCGTATGTGTTGGCACATAGACCTATTTTCGTGAAGAAGCTGATTTTTAATGCATGATACATTTTCTAAACATGTTCTAAATGCATTCTAAGTACCATAATATAAATATGCACATAATGACTCAGAGATACCGTCCAATATACAGAAATGCTAAAGTTATCCTAGTTTTGACATCATGCAGAACATCTAACGGGCAAGGGCACTCACATATTTCTCTAGAGTCCTATTATCCTTTCGAGTTCTAGCGTAGATTTAATGGGAAGGTCCTCCAATAATTGGAACACCTATCCCTCACTGTTTATCAGAATGAGGAGGTTCTCCCGTTCTCTAAAAGTTCCTCCTGCAAAGGCATACACCACCAATAACTCTTTCTCCTCCTTCTCTCAGGATTGTTTTTCTCTTTTGGCCACTTGAGTGACATTTTCCTCTCCCTCTACATGATTTTTTTTCTCTAGACCTTATTTCTCTCGGTATGCTTTTGTCTTGGTTGAAAAATCTCAATAATCTCCCTTGATGTATTAAGTTCTCTATGACATCTTTTAGTTGTACGCACTCTTTGATATTATGGTCGTTTCTTTTTCGAAGCAAAAATACAAGGACTTGTCAATAATGGGACGCCCCCGCATTTATTTTTGAATTTTTACTTCTTCCTTAATATTTATAAGAGGGTAATCCTCTATTTTCTCGGTTTGACCTAATATCCTTCTTTCTTTCTCCTTTATTCCTTTGTTCCATTTTTTTCTTGGGTTCTTCAAGTACTCTTTTACTTACTTCAACCTTCATGGAACTTCCTTCGTAGATTGTCTTACTTGCGGTCAATTTTTTATTATATTATATTTTATCAACAGCCTATACCGGGTCTCTTGCAAGCCCGAGTGGTGCATGAAGGCAAGAATTGACTGTTTTGACTTCCTATATTGATTTTTTTATTGTCTGCTGCTACTAATTGCCTTTGCACCACCATCAACAAGCTCCTTAATAAAGTATTAGTTTCATAGACAATTAAAGGTGGTGCATTGCCATCTCCTTGTGGATTCTAAGGTGGTACCATAGTTTTGCCAATTGATATGGGCATCACTAGAGGTGATGCATGTTCAAGATGCAAAGGAAAGACATGAAGTGCTTCAATTGCATGTGGAAGTTGGATTGGAGTTCCTCGTTGAGAAGAGGACACTGTGTGTTATCTATCAAGACAATGCTTGACCCGAAAGACTTTACTAGCGAAAAATTAACGAAGACAGTTGGAGTTCTAATTGGTTCTTCTTTCGTGGTTCACTGTTTTAAATTTGAATAATGTGTTAAAACATTGATGAACATTCATATAGATAACTCCAATGATCCTATGTGTATTAGAGTTTTCTTATGTGGGTGAGAGGTGAGTTAGATCTGGGGTAAATTTTTAGAATATGATATTACTCTAAAATTGGTCTGGTGTCTAGGGAGTTATAGCTGCAAACGCTCTGACACTCATGTTAGTAACAATTAGAGGTGAAAGGTATTTTGTGATTAGAAAACGTGTGTACCTTATTTGTGGTGCTATGACTCTTTTTATATTAATATAAGACAATTGTCTAAATATTATTTGTTATGCAATCTAACAATCCTCTTTCAATCATTTCTTTCGATCAAGTATTTTTTTTAAGGATAAATTCATGCTTGCTTCGTAAGTCTTAGAATCATCTTTAGGTCTATAGCTAGAGAAGTGTCATCCTTAGTTCGATGTTATTAGTCTAATGGCAAATTTATCAAATATCATAATCCTCTTTATTCTAAATCGGACAATTTGTGATGGACGGAAAAAGGATATTGTTTTTTCAATTAGAGAATATCATATTTGAATTGAATCATAACTATTTCCAAACCATGTGTACACAGTAGAAGAATACATAATATTCAAAATTGATGTAGTTAGCGAATAAGAGGATGTGGAAGGAGGCATATTGGTAGTCTTCTCTTCTTGAGCATATGTTTTTGGTTAAGTAGAAGAAGATGATGTATATATATATTAGTTTTGTTTTGTTTTGAGGCACACAAATTGTGTTTGTTTCCAAATTATAACGATATGCATGAGCAGAGATTAAAATCGCTTCATATTTTCTTTGTTGACACAAAAGCCTCATTCTTCACCTTCCAGTAAAAGAAAAATTGGCTTTCAAGTTTGGAGAAACGTTAATGAATGGTAAAATATATTTTAGTTTTCACTTGTCATTAACTTGAAAAACCCAATCAAGTTTTGACACGAAAGCAATAATTTCTTTTTATAAATATTTTTTCCATTACCGATAAAAAACCTCACAAGACGGACTATGTTTGTTTGGGTATAAATAGGGATAGGCCAGTAACCAACCCAAGGAATAGATAGATAAAAATATATTTGGTAACATTCTCGCCGGAAAAGGAAGGAAGATAAGATTTTCCGGCGAGCTCGGTGAGATGAAGGTTCATCGGAAGAGAACGAAGTCGCGATTGGTGAAGTTTGAAGAATTGCCGGAATATTTGAAAGATAATGAGTTCATATTGGATCATTACCGGTCGGAATGGCCGGTGAAGGATTCTTTGTTGAGCGTTTTCGCGTGGCACAACGAGACGCTGAATGTTTGGAGGTGAGTGCTGTTTTTTCCTGTGTTCAAATTTTGCGGAACTTTTGGTTTTTATCTTTGATTTCTTTGTTCGTTGGTGTAGTCATTTAGGAGGCTTTTTGATATTTGCGGCGATGGCGGTCATGAGTTTTTCGGCGGTGAGGGAACTCGGAGGAGGTTTTCTCTCAAAAATTTACAGGTATTCTTCTTTTTTTGTTGTTCAACTTGAAGGGTTTGGGTTTCATATTTGGGGTTTCTTATTGTGTGGTGTAGGAACAGAGTAGGACCCGTGGGAACGCAGATCAACGGTTCTGAATCTCAAGATAAAGCCTTTCAGGTTTCTTTTTCATTTTTATTTATTTAAACTACATTTTGCTGTTTTTATTTTTAAATGATTATTATTTTTTCAAGTATACTCTTTTAATTATTATTGTGTACGTATCTAAATAAAATACTATTAATATATAACGATTGTTGTTGTATTTCCAAGTTTAGTGTAATTTCGTTAGGTGAGGTAACACCTTCCTTGTTCAGGTAATTGTTAAAAAATTTATCATCATCTATAGCGTATTATCTTTTGTATAATTAGTAATAAAGTGCATTTGATATTTTCTTTTTCTGCAAAATCAAAATAGTTAAAAACTTAAAACTATTGCCAAGTTTTGACATTTATTTATTAGTAATAAAGTGTATTAAGCTTGGTTGGTAAGGTTAGAAAATGTTGTGAATGAAAGTGCAGGATAAGGGGGTCACTTTAGCCTATCTTCATGTGATCTCTGCGACCGACCCATTATTATTCAATAATTTGAGACTACTCTATGTCTGCGTTTCTTACTTGAAATATAGTGTCAACTATTTAATTGAGAATAATTTATATAGTATTTTTTAATTAAATTATATAATTGGAAATAATTTATTTAATATTTTTTAGATTGTATAATTGGAAAATACATTACAAAATAAAAATGTGAAATATGGTGTCTTATTCATTGTAAAACAGATAGAGACAGTATTTGCTTATTAGTCCTTATCATGCGTAAGATTCTATAATATTTCTCTTTAAAAAATTGTTTCAGTTTTTTTGGTACAATAAAGTGAACAATTTTCTAACACCAACTTTTGTTAAGAATTAAGATTATTAGGAAGTAAGTTATTAAAATCCTCCCAAAATAATTTCTTTTGGGGCTATTATCCGTAGGTTCATCCCATTGTTTAAGAATTTAAAGTAACTTAATGATTTATTTAAAATAAAAAATATCTCTTTTTTAAGCCAAATACAAAAATATATTTTCCAAATTCATTAACACAATATTGTTTAACAATTGTGCTTTCTCTGAAGTTTAAAACAACTTTCTCTCTTGAAATGTCATTATCATTCAACACAAAATTTAATTTAAAGTTAGAATTACTTGCAATTGTCAAAAAATAGAAGTTAGAATAACTTACCCTACAAAACTTAGATACATGGATTCTCTTCATTTATTTTTGTTCATATGTTTACATGTTTTTTCATCTCTGCCTTTAAAACTCACTTTTTCTTTTATTCTCTTTCTTTTTCAATGGATGATGGAGATTTTAATAGACCTTCATGTCACAAGAAAGTATCTATTCCCATCAAAATAAGACATGGATAAGAGGTAGAGATTTGGTTCTGTTCAGAAGAACAGACAATTTTTTCAGAGCTGTAATAAAATTCCATCCATAAGTTAAACTCAATCCAAGTGCTTTTGATTTATAGAGTTGATTTTGATCACCTACTTAATCCAAGTGTACTTGGATATGATGGCAAGGGTCTTTTCTACCTTAATCAAACGTTCTCGGTTCCGGACATGGAAGAAGAGTTTTGATGTCATTTGTAGTATGTGCAGTTGCGCGCATATGATACTATGTTTATACCAGTAAAGAACCATAACACGTCACGTTTTTGTTATATATGTGAAGTAAAAAGAAAAATAAAACATGCTTAGTCCAATTTTAGCTTACCACTGACTAATCATGAGATTGAATGAATGAATAATTTGTTTGGTTACAGGATTGGCATTTGAGACAGATATTGGAAGTAACCATCTTTGATGGAGTGACAGAAACAATTCCAAGATGGCCATGGTTCATTTTCCTAGTTGGAGGAATGTGTTGCTTAGCTTGCAGTTCTGTTTCCCATCTTCTAGCATGCCACTCCAAACGCTTTAACCTCTTTTTTTGGCGTCTAGATTATGCCGGAATATCAATCATGATAGTATCCTCTTTCTATGCGCCAATTTACTACGTATTTTTCTGCAACCCACACGCAAGGTTACTCTATTTGACATCAATATCAGTCCTTGGAGTAATAGCAATAATAACCCTTCTTTCCCCGACACTTTCAGCGCCTCGGTTTAGAACCTTTAGAGCATCTTTGTTCCTTTCAATGGGATTTTCAGGTGTTATTCCAGCAGTTCATGCTCTTGTAAGCAACTGGGGTCACTCGCATATTGTAGTTGCAATTGGATACGAGGTGTTAACGGGGATTCTATATGCCACAGGTGTTGTGTTTTATGTGACCAGAATACCAGAGAGATGGAAGCCTGGAGCATTTGATATTGCAGGACATAGTCATCAGATATTTCATGTTTTTGTTGTTCTTGGGGCACTTGCACATAGCACTGCCACACTTGTTATCATGGATTTTCGAAGGGGATCACCCACATGTGCATCTTAGTTTATCATTTTTGTATTCTTCTTTCTATGGATACTAGATGCAGCTTTTAAACTTTGGAAATTAAACTAGTAACAAATAACAAATTTCATTTTTTTGAATTCCCTCACCCCACACTTTCAGAAATTATATGTTTTTGTTAGATGATATAATTCAAACTTTTTAAAAATAATAACACATGTTTATTTTTTATGTTTTGGTTCTCATTTGATATGGTGAATTTATTTAATATTTTTTTTAATTGATATCGTGGGGTGGTTGTGATTATGAAGGAGAGAATATTATATTTTTACTTTTTAATTAATAAAAAAATGTGATTGGTTGTTTGTAAAATCAAGTGTTATGTTTATGTCCACCTAAATTTTTTTCTTTTTTACAAATGCATCTTTTATAATTTATTTTTCATCTCCTTAATTTTAAAAAAAAATCAAGTAAATTCTTTTTTATTTAAAAAGCATGATTTCAATTTTTTTTGATTTTTTTTTTAAGTATGCATGACAACCAAAGATTCTCAAATAAAAAAGAAACTTAGATATGTCACTTGTTCTCGTAAGTTTGCGAGATAATTTTGAAGAAGATATACAATATGATGGAAATAATGTTGAAGAAGATGAATAAGATGATGAAATAATGCAGAAGAAGATGAACAAATTGTTAGAAGTGGTGTTGAAGTAGATTGTGACAATAGTGAGGATGAAATTGTTGGTATAACATTTGATAGTGAAGATGACATGGCTCTTGAGTTGGATAATCACGTTGACATAATTGGTAAAGAAGGTGATTCAATGACAAAAAAAGTAGGATAAAATATGGTGTAAAAAAGCACATGCACACTCTAAAGAAATTTGTGAATGGTGTTTATAATACTGGTCTATCTAGTTGTGTGGATGGAGATTAACTATTCTAGTGATGAACTTTGTAGTTGTGATCCAAATGCTTCGGATAATGAGAAGGAACTAAAGTATGATAAGTTTAGGGTGAAGAATGTATGACTAGATGAATTTAAAGAAGTATTACTGAATGACCGGTCATGAATGAGAGAGAGATAAGATTTATGAAAAATGACAAAGTTAGAGTAAGGATAATTTGCAAGGAAAATGTGGGTTTTTGCCACTTGTAAATGAAGTTAGAAATACACACACACATGAAATGAAGAGATGATTTAGTACTTACACGTGTGTTCGAGTATTGAATAATAGCTCATCAAATACATAAATAAAGGAGTTATGGAGAAGGAAACACAATCTTTAACTTTATAGACGTGAAGCATCTCAGTGATGTAGTTAGGATTATATGTTTACATATTTTGAGAGTTATTGGTTATATATTTTGAGACAAGTTCATATGTATTGGATGACAAACTCATATGTTTTTTGAGTTATATGCATTTTTGTTATGTAAGACAAGTCTAATTTGTCCATTTTTAACTAAACAGTTTAAGTAATTTTTACAAAACAGGTTGTGCAATTCTTGCACAATCTTGATTTACATTCATTAAGATACATGGACGAGAATTAAAAACTCCCAAACTTATATCATTATTGTTCCAACACTTAAAGTTTTTAATAATGTTAGTTAAGTCCTTTACAACCTCTAGAAAATTGCAAGCACATGATAATCTGGAATCAATAGATATTTACGAATATATGGAAGATGATAATCAATTTAATCATACTATATGATTAACTCAAAGCATTTTAAACTCCTTCTAATCAAATAAGTATTTTAAACTCTTATGATCACTGAACACTTGAAATTTAGAGTCAAAAAACCACGTCAAAATCTAATTCAACTAGTGAAACATAAACGTTTGTCACATTGTCCTTTTTATAATATATTATTGACATAAATGACGAACACCAAATGAATCTCAACATTTATATACTATTTTAAAAAATGAAAAGTATTTAGAGACGAAAATAAAAAAATTACCAATTTATAGGGACAAATGACATATTTAAACCTTAAAAAATATGGGAGACTTGAAAAATATATTTATAGTCTATAAGCTATATATATATATATATATATATATATATATATATATATATATATATATATATATATATATATATATATATATATATATATATATATATATATATATATATATATATATATATATATATATATATATATATATATATATATATATATATATATATATATATATATATATATATATATATATATATATATATATATATATATATATAGTTTCTCTTGAGCAAGACAGAGAGGCGGGCCTATCAGTTAACTCCGTCAATGCCCGAGTATCATTTTGAGTCCGGAAGAAGGCGACTATCAGGTTAGATCCCCGGGTCTTGAGGTAGATATCCATTCCGGAATATGAAGAAACATGGAGAATTTTGATCCAAGTGATCAAAAAGTGCCTCCCCTGAAACAACCGGCTGAAAATCATCAAACAATGAAGTCTCCATCGAACGTCTTTTATCCCACATAAAAGGAAAGGTAAACATCGAGAAAACCTGAGAATGGAGAAGTTACGGTCTTGTGACCGAGAGATCAGGTAAGGGAGTCTGTTACGCGAGGGAAAGGTATTAGCACCCCACACGTCCGTAGTACTCTACGGTATCCACTCTTGTTGTCTATCTTATGGGTGCGTTTAAACTATGCTTCTTGTTTATTGCTGAGGAAGAATGCATGCAAAAGAAAAGAGAAAAGAATATAGGGAAAATAAAATTGTACTCGCTTGGGCCCTACCCTAATGCCTACGTATCATTTTTAAGGAATCAGAGCTACCGTAGTTCGGCTCACATGTTTTTGTTTGTTTTATGTTTTTTATGAACAATGTTAATTCTGCCTTCTGCCGCAGCTCGACCTTTGGAGACTTATGCGTTGGCACAGAAGTAAATTAATCATGTCCTTGCTTGAAAATAATTTTAGAGAAAAGGTGCTTGGACGCACAAAAAGGTTTGAGTTGGTTTGTATTTTTGTTACCTTGAAAAAGGGTTTAAGTGTGATTAGCAAGTTCTTGATTTGCTAAGAAAAAGAGTTTTAGTTTGGGATGCATATGCAAAAAGGGAAGAAAAGAGTCCACGGGTGACTAGCCTATTTGTAACCTAATGTTATCATACAATGGTAGTCCTAAGGTTTGGATTAACAAAAGGGAAATCTCTACCTAATGTTAGCATGCATGGTTTGTAACCTAATGTCTAACTTGCATCCTAACGGAGCAAGAACATCCTAAGGGAACATAGTATGTACAAGGAGAAAGCAAGCAAGCTCGAAAGAGCGCACACATAAAAGAGTAAGGAAAACAAGAGAAATGCTTTAGCCAAGGGGAGCGTATCACCCGAGATAAACAAGCGGGGGTGAGATGAAAAATTAAAAATGTGATGTCCAAAGCGACTGAACACCTAACCAAGATATAGGAGATTGAGGTAGACGATAGAAGACGATATGAACAATCACGGAGTATCAGCATCGGCCAATGCGAACTCCTGACAAAGCATGGGGGTTTGATTGCGGAACCCTTCCCCACTTGACGACTCGATACACAAGAGCAGACACAACTCCGAAGCTTCGTGGTGCGCCATGAGCTAAGGATAACACAGACGAAGTTGCGGGGGTTAATTACTAACTCTCCCCGCTCGCCTCCTTTTGAGGAATTCAATAAGGGATGGGGTAATAATACAGGCACAAATATAAACACACCTGCAGAATACCTACTCAAAGGTAGGGTTTTAAACAAACCACACACAAGTAGCAAATAGAATGCACACAATGCAGAATTTCCCTAAACGAGTCTTTAAATAAACCAGAGGGGTTCCTGACATGATCAACAATGGAGACCCCCGTCATACATCACTATTCCTACTTCTCATGGAATTAAAAAGTAGTAAATCCTCTACTTCTCATGATATCTAGAAAAGCGGTAAAGAAATGTAGTAAAGTGCGAAGAAGTATGAAGGTAGTAGCGGCGACTACCAAAGCGAGCAAATCATCAAGAGAAGACGAAAGCAATGGAGAAGCAAGGAGTACGCGTCGAGCAAGCTTCACCAAGAAAAAAACAAAGTCAGAAACAATATCCAACTAAGATAAAAGCAAACGCGTGTTGCGAATACAACGCGTAATCAGAAGTTCTTGCACAAGACATCATGAAGTATCACATGTATCAGGACAACATGTAATACGATATGAATTTCTCAGGACGATGAGAAGTAAGGTGTGTCGCATCAAAAGCGAGCATAAGTCGTATGCTTCAATCACATAACTACGTCTTATATTACATGATCGAAAGCACAAAAATGTACCTTGCACAATGAACAAACGCGTCCAAAAATAACATGGCGAAACAGCATGAAAACAAGAAAGAAAGAGTTTTCGGCATGAAAATACGGATGAAAACAAGAAACAAAAAGTTTTTTAAACTAGTTTTTTATGTAAAGAAAATTCTAAAAAACCTAAAGGATTAATTCCTAAAAAAAACCATTATATTATTCTACTATTTTTTTATTACTTTTATTATATTTTTATTATATATTTTATTGGCAAAAATTGACAAAAAAAAGTCTTAATTCTAATGAAGAATTAGTGAACTCGGGGGGGGGGGGGGGGGGGGGGGGTGCTAATCTGAATCCAGGGGGTGATGAAGCCAATTTGGGCGCTGGCCCATTAGAAAAGGGGCCCAATGCTTGTTCTATATTTGTTCTTATTATCAAACTTTTCCAAAAAATGCAACGGGCTCCATGAAAAGTTCCAGCACAGGCCCGACAAGTAAGGTCCATGAAATTGTTTTATTTTTTTGTTTTATCAGATTTTCAATATTCAATTTTGTCTCAATTCTTACCCTAAAAAGAAAATAACAACAAATAAAACAATCATGAAAATAAAGAGAGAGGTGTACATGTAATTAGGGTTGGGTGTGACCCTTCGTCTTCCTTCGAGAAAAAAGAAATTTCTCCTCCTTCTCTCTAACTGCGGCGCATCTTTCATCTCTATCATAGCACCACCACAATTTTCAAGTTCCGGCCACCTCA